CCTGGTCCTCTGTGCCCAGTGGCTCCGCCCTTCAGTGGGGCGGCTTTCATGGCCCAGACTGGGCTTTTCTTTCCGGAATCCTTTGTCCCTGACACAGATAAAATAATCATGTTTATTGAAAGTCCAAATCTTGGTCCTCAATCTGGGGCCGTGGCCCTTCCCTGCGCCCAGCCCTTGCAGGCCTCCTGGCAGCAGTCAAGAGCACGCCTGAAGGACTGGCGGCCCCTAACTTCCAGCCTGGCCGAAGCCAGGACTCCGAGGAAGGAACTGCCTGTGACTCCTCTGTCCCGAAGTCCTTCTCCAGAGGAAGCCCCTCCCCAGGGCCGCCGGGGTCTGTTGACAGCGTCCTGTGTCCCTAGAGGCGGTACTGCTTTTGTCCCCACTCAGATAAACACACAGAGCCGTGCACACGTGCACACGTGGGCAAGGTGCAGGACAACACCAAGAGAGATGGCTGCTCTTCCTTCCCCCTCGGACCACTGCAGGAGCCTGCCGATGGAAGGCGGCTTCACTCAGCCGGGAGGGCCACGCCAACCCCTCTTACAGGCAGGCGGACACACCAGGCCCAGGAGAGGGGAGCGGAGTCCCTGCTGCTGAAGAGAGTAAGCAGTCCTGGGTTCCAGCTTTCCCTGGCTCGCCCTCCCTTCTACACACAGGACTGCCTTTGGTAGCACCCCACCTGGGCACCATTCACAGGGCCTTCTGGCCAGGCGCACCCTGAAGGTCTGTGGCCCAGCAATCTGCACATGTGCACGTGCACACACCCCACTGGCCCCCTCGCTGCTCTCTGCTCCTTAGCCAGGCCCTCTCCCCGCACTCTGGCCTCTGTCTAGCCCTCTCTTCCCTCCTGCAGTCAGATCAGAGCCACCGGATGCTGGGCCAGTGAGTGTACAAGCTTAGAGCCAAGACCGGGAAGTTTATTTTCCAAGACTCATCTAAACACATGGGGAGCATTGTTAGCCCCCGGCTCCCACCCGGATGCCAAATCTAAACAGGGGCCCCAGAGATGGACCATCAGAGACAGAGCAGCCAGCAGGCGACAGGGTGGGACCAGGTGCTGCAGACCCCACCCTGCTCCGCTCACAGATGTCTATCTCCCTGGAAGCACTCTGCCAAGGAGAAAGCTAGGGGCCGGGAG